GGGGGGGGGGTGGGGGGGGGGGTAGCTTTGTTATTTTAATTGTGTGAGGGGTTTGTTAAAATTAGTTTTTGCTTAATGAGAGGGGAGGGGGTATGACTTAGTTTTGGGGCATATTCTACCCATTTCCTACTTCCCCCCTCCAGGTAATTATTGTACAGTCCCTAATTCTAAGTTCTAAAGGCGCGTCCTGGTATTCCTAAAGTAAAAGAAGAACTCCTTTCTGCGTTCATTCCACAGACAAGTCCAAGAGAATTATTTATATATTCAAACTAAGTGGGTGCTCTATATTAAAAAAAACCACGAACTTTGGCATCATTGGACAAACACAAACTTTATAAATAGGATTTAATGTCCAAATAGAGGTGAAATTACAATGAAACAAGCTCTTTAAGGTAAGCAATAACATAACGGTTTAAGCATTCATTGACACCGTGCAATGTATGTTCACGGCAACCGTAGCTCGTATAGCAAGCGTTTCCGTTTGGTTTCGGGGCAAAGAAAGAACAGGAAAGGGATTTTTGGTTTTGGCCGCGCGAGAAATGAAACAAGAGCCATAAAATGAAAGTGGGGGAAGGGGGAGGGGAAGGAAGAATACGCTTGCAGACAAACCCCTCGATTTTGAGAACCTGCGTTCGCCAGCGAACGCAGCGCCTGATTGGCTCGGCTAGTCGAACAATGTTGACATGTGTCGATCAAAGGTTTGTTTCATACTGAGAGGACGGTATGATACGTGACACGTATGTTAATTTTCAGTGGTTGTTGTTTATTCTGGTCAGCAAGATTTGCCAAGGCATTTTCTTTGACCTCTTTTGAAACGTAAGGCTCTTCTTGCGCCTAAATAAGGTTTCCGGTCGTTTAATTTGTTCTTCAAAGTGCCTCTTGGATCTAAATAACTAAAAGCGATTTTCTTTTGCCCGCGAATGCGATGGTTTCCTGCAATGTGTCATGCTGGGCCCAGCTCGTTAGTGTTTTTTTTAGGGATGTCGAATTCTCTCAGATGGTTATTTACAGACTGTTCTGTTAAACGGATTAAAAAGACAAATGTACAAAGCCTGTATTGATCGTTCGTATTCATTGATATTTCAACATAAACGCTGTCCATGTGTTACAAAATACAAAAAAATATATTTTGGGTTCACATACGCGTCCTCTGAAGTTCATTTCCGCTCCAGTGAAAGCCAAACATTTTATTGGTCAATTATGACAGCTGATGACACCATCAAATGTCGGTACGCGAACTCAGACGTGACAGGCAAAGTGGGTGGTTTTCAAAATCCCGGGGTTTGTGTTCCCCACCCCCTCCCCGCTCTTTTACTTATGCCATTTTCGCGCGGTCTTTGACTATCGTTCCTCGTTCTTTGCTCCTAAACCGCACGGAAACGCTTGCTACGCAGGCTACGGCAACCGTGATTTGGGGGGTTCGTGTTTGAAGAAAAATAGATGGCATTGAACGTAAAAACGGGGCTTGATTGTTTATATATACTGGTTCGTGCCCAGGAACAAAGAATTGCATTTCAAACTGAGGAGAGACCACCAAAACAATCACAATCAAGTGTACTATAACTTCAAGCACGATACAAGTTATATATGCTTTTTCAATGTACCGATTAATTTTGATTTAAGGTCAGGTTTAATTTTAATTAGTGCTTCATTCTCTACTTCAGCGCCATCTCAGAAAGTTACAAAAAATTTTTGTCAAACTACCCAAAATAGGATTGGCCCAACACGTCATCGGGCGGGCGTTTTAGGCGACCTTATTTTAACAGCTGCTGCGCTACGAGTTTTCAAAAATGACCTAATAATAGGGAATTTATTGTATGACCGGGGTTAGATCTTATCTTACCAGTATTGCATAAAACTTGAATCGAAGACACAGGCCCACAACCATAAAGAGTACATCCACTGGAAGAAGTTTGTTCGCCATAATTATATCACCGAAAGCAAAATTGCGTTAAAGGTGTTCGTCTCAGTATTTTAAGGCAGTGCCTCAGCTTAAGCACTTGCGTCTTCGCTCAAACCATGTTGTTATTTTAGAACCACTCTCTGTAAGATCCGAATGTTGGTTATATGCGATAGTTTACGATATTGAAAAATCTATCGCCCTGCCGTTCACCCTCATGAATACTTGTGCGATTTGGCCATTTCATATCCTTTTTGTACAGAAACGACATAGAAATTTACAGAAAAGTTTGAAGCAGAGTTCTTGGTTTGCTCACAAAACCTTAATTGCTGTTGGACGTTTTTGTTGCTGTCTAGTAAGGTACCGCTAAACCGAATAATACCCGTGAAAAAATTAAACGATCCCTCAATCCCGGGCCCTCAACGTCATGATTTGGCAACAAAAACTCCAAGATTAGGTCTGCGTTACTCTATTTAAACAGACAGATGCTTTGATTTCTAGTGCTTTTAATAACCACGTTTACTTATGGGAAACTAAAGTCCGAGTTGTTTTGGCGCCTGATATCGATTACCAAGCACATCAAGAGATTTTTGTAATGCGGGATTGTCTTAGTAACTGCAATGGAATTATCAACCATACTGGCGCAATGGATGTACAATACAATTAAAAAGGATGCCGTACTTATCTTACCAATGCCAAGCACTTGTAGACACAGGACTGGAAGTATTAACATTGAGATCCAGAACAAACGTTCGTTCGCCATAAGTCAACATCAAAAGTAAAATAAAACGATCAAGGTGATCGTCTCAGTATTTTAAGGTAGTGCTTCAGCTCTCGCACTTACATTTGTGCTTAAACATTGTCGTTGTTTATTCAGACCTGAAAGCTTACGTATAGCTTATTTTAAGCTAAACTTTGGTTCAATTTGACGGCTGAAACCATGAAGGAAGTTTTACGCTCATCGGAGGTAAGGAGATCGATATCCACAGATGAGTCTAGTAAAACCAAAAGGTTTTAAAATTTGTATCTCAAGTAGTGTCTTAAAGCAAAACAGGACGTTGATGCTATAAATGAAAAGAGCGAGCTGTTGTGTTGTTACTTGACCTCTCCTATGATTGTCCTAAAGTGAGTCGTGAGAGATTTGTCATATAAATATGATGTTGTTGTTACCGTGCGGGGGAACAGTCAAGCGCTATTTGCTCATTACCAACAATGCAAAGCAAAACAAACAACAAGGACAAGCACACAATAGAACTGCGCGTGCGTTTTAATTTTCCGTGATTATATTCATACTCGGGTTACAATTGCGTTTTCGGTGTAGTTGTGGGGGTAATGATAATGTTTCCTACTCGCTAAAAAACCTACATTTGATGCGAAAGTGCTGAAGGAAACAGATTAATACCGTGCGAGACAGAATAGAGTGCGATATATACAAAGGGGTTTAATTAATCTGTGGGCACGTCTTGTGCAACATGATCATTTAAATGTTTCCAATAGGCTTAAAATGCAATCCTCAAAATATCAGTTGTTGAGTAAACCCGGGCGCTAAGCTTATCCTTGGTTAACGTATATCGGCGAATTATTGCAGGGTCTATTGCTGTTACTATTTACTGATTCCCAAGTAGTAAGTGACGCGTAGACTCTTTCACTTTGTGTCTGTAAAATTAATGGAGGAAAGAATAAGTTAGCAAAGGAAACTAAACGAAGTAATAATTACCGGATGAAGCAATAACAAATTAAAGCAGTTAAAGAACTAATAGTCATACTGTTGCCAGAGAGACTCTCCGGAACTCACCACACTACCCACCAGTTAGTATAGTACAATGAATAATTTACTAAATCCAATTCAGACCGGAGGAGTTTTTTTCGCGCTCCCCACCCTTAACTCCCCACAAAATTTAAGTTGAATGCTATGACGTGATGATGACATCATGTGCAATACGTCATTGCGTCAATCAAAGTATATCTTGATTAGAAATGTTGAGCACATGATCCTGTGTAATTTTGGTGACCGTATCATAAGTCATAAGAAAAGTCTCAAAGTATAAAATGGGGCCCTCCGAAGCCCCCACCCCCCTCAACTCCCTCCTCCTTCTTTTCCCGGCGACAGGAAGTAAGAGGAAAAAGCTTGGTTTGAACAGCGTTAACTGCCATAACAATTAAATTATTGAAGAATATATCATCTATTAGGAAAAGATATAACAATGGCCCTAGAAGCTTCCTCGTCTTTGTGTGTTGCCGTTTAAGTTTTGAATTCTTGGCATAACTAGCTGGACATACCATTGTACTCTGACTCAACATGGTGTATTCGCAATTCGTTCCGCTTGGCTGTTGTCTTGTTTGGACTTCAAGTCTTCCATGATCTCCGTTTTCATCTGACATCCCACTGCGTCGAGTGGCCACTGCTTTCTGTGCTGGATTCAAAGAGCTGCTCTGATTTTCAAGCTGAATCCTGAATTCAAAATGCAGCATTTTAGAGCATGAAATTTCTTGACAATAGATGTTCTTCAGGAGTATGGTGAAACTATAAGACAAATCTGAGTGAAAAAATCTTTCTTAAAAATGACATGGCGATAAACATCCGAAAAATGGTGTAGTGAGCCGGCATTGGGCAGTTCTTTGCCTACCTTTCAGCAATTTCACTTCTTGCATCTGCAAAAAAAGAACACATAGAAAATATATACAAAAAGGGCGCACTAAACTGAAAGATATATAGTAAGTTTGGCGCAGTAACTATACTGTGACATTTTTATCACCCTTTTGACAACCACGCCATTTCTATAAGTTATAGTTTTTGTGAGTTACAGTGAGTAAGTTCTTCCCTCTCACAGTGACCAAACTGTATTACCATTGAAAAAGATCCATCAGCTATCTTTGTCCTTTTTGCGTTTTCTGTTAGAGCGAGCTCCTCTTTGACTATCAATTTGAATCTTACGCACTCGACTGATTTAAATAATGAACTTAATTTTTTGAATTATGATTTTCCTTAATTATTCAAGACTGACGAACTTGCCTCTAGATCCGTCTCTGGTCTGAGTCACGCGCCGTAATTTTATAACCAAGATTGCAATAGTGCCAAATGCCATAACAAGCACTACTCCCCCTCC